TAAACTAAACTGAACAGAGTAGATAAACTAAGCCGGTTCAAGAACACTTTTGAATAAACCCTCTTTAAAACAGACCCTCAAAGGATGGTGACAGGTGATATTAATCAACGCCATCTTATGAAGGGCTGCCATCTTGTTTTTAGTGATCTTGTACCGGCTTATCTACTGAAGAGGATGAACTGATAAACTAAACTGAAAATAGTTTTAAATTACTATTAAAAAAAAGCTAAATGCAGAATATATTCCAATACCTACTATACCTAGTACGTCTAGCCTATAGACTTTTAAAAAAGAAAAAGTTTCTAGTATAACACTAAAAAAAATTATAATATAAAATTAAAAATGCATATTAATCATAAAAGATAAATTATAATCTAAATAATAGGATATGTTTTTGAAGTCTTTGAGGAGACTGAAGAATTAGAAATCTAGATGAGTGATAAATATAGGCCTGTTTTAAATAATATAATAAAGTTTTAAAAAATTAAAATGCCACTTTTCCAAATCATAATATAAAATGAGATTTATACTAAAGGCTGGCAAAGGTTAGTCTTGGGTCGAGATTTCCGTATGTAAGAAGAGTACAATGTACTGAACAAAGAGAGAAAAGTAAACACGTTGCCAAACGTATGAAATAAACCGAGAAACTGTACACATTGCTAAGAGTCGTGGAAGGGGATATAGCAGATTTGTCGCAGTTGACCGGGCGACCCAATCAGTACCTCTGTCAGTACTTAAAGTTCTAGGGAAATGTGTACATCATGGGTTCAGCTTCACGAATTAATTACGTCTTGTGATATTTTATTTGGTTTATTTATTAACGAGTCGTTGTAATGGTATACATCCAGCGCGAAATGTTGAGGGAGCAGCCCCATCTATTTCAGCCAGTCTTCTGCATATCATGAGAGCCTTTATGGCTTTTTGCTGGTAGTGTTCTTAATATGCCTGTTCCACAGGAGTTTACTGTTCGAGGGTTATTCCCAGGTATTAGAACTTCCTGTGTTGGCAGTATCTCGAAATCTAGTTGAAATAATTGATTGTAGTTTTTTTTCAGAACTTCTTAATATTTCTGAATGGCACTATCTTGTTGTTTGTCTGAGTTGTTACTCAGCCCGACAGTCCCTACACCATTTAAATTATACGCAAGTACCTCTTTTTCTCGTTATAACAAGGTGCCTGGACACCCTAACGATATCCTTATAATTCCATTTCAGATGCCGAGAAACATATCTAACGATTTTATCTAGTTATCTTTTCGAAAAAAAAGTCTTTTAAAAATAAGCGGTTTGTCATCGTCATTTTACTACATTTTGCTAATAGGGAAAGGCATACCGGCAACGCCGCAACGGCACACCGTCGCATTTCTCTCACTCCGACTTAATAAGATCCCTATGCGATTGTCTTCCACACATGTAGTAAATACCGACCCAAAAGTAACAGTTGCCAGCACGGTATTATAACAGACAAGCGAATGTCACTCTGGCGTCTGACTCTACACACAGAAAAAAGTTTTTGTAACACAAATTAGTAATAAGTGTAGCTTAGTTTTTATTAACACAAAAACAACGTTAGTATAAACACAAATTTAAGTTGCTACAAATTAACACAAATGAGATGTTAATAAATCTAATTGATTTATCCCACAAATGTACTCTTGCTAATGACTTATTTTACTAAGCTATATGTCACTACTAATACTAATGTTCAGTTTTTTAATCACATGTAAAGACTTCGTTAAAGAAATAGTCTCTTCAGTATATCTCTTGTACTAAAAGTATTATTAACTGATAGGAAAAATATCTTTAAAACAAAATGTAAAAAACACATTAAATCACACTGAGCACATATAGAAAAAGAGTTCTAAAAATGAAATTGTTATTAAACATTAGACATACACAAAAATGCAAAGATATAAAAGATTGTTGGTCTTATTGAATTATGAATAAAATTGTGTATCATGTTTTGAGATTTGAATAGGTGACATTTACTATTTTTACAGCTACTAGTACAAAAACTTTGAATTCTGTAACTACGTTCTTTTTTAACAATTTGTATTTTTTTTTAAATATATAATAAATATCGCCTATCAGCAAATGCACTGTATATACAAGGTATTTCAAATTGCACAGATTTACCATTATCAAAATCTATTATAAATCATCTTAAAATTGAAAAATCTTTCCTAAAAATGTATTTTTTTATGAAAATATTCATATTTAAACTAGAAATGACACTATAATACCGTATGATCGAAAAAAAAACATCGTCCAGTTGGCCTGGAAATGACTATCAATGACATTCCCCATATAATTTTACATATAAAATGACAGCGGTTTTTATTTCATAGCCATCGATGACGCCGTTTTTTTTATCACATTGTATTTGGTCAATGCAAATCGAAATACCCGATAAAAGTATACAGCATGACCAAAACAGAATTTGCATCAAATAAAATTTATTTGCTGTATTATATCTCATCTTTTCTTTTAGCATTAGTTTCCACTTCAAGAATAAAGCGATCAAAAATAAATAAAAACATTTAATAATACAATAATTAAAATTAATTTTTTATAAGTCTATATTTTATCTATTAATAGAATAAAATTGGTACGGATATTTTCACGTTTTTTTATTTTTTTTAAGTTAATATTAAAAATATTATAATTTAATTTTAATCGAACAAATAGAATAATAAAACTTTTTATGGTGATAAACGTAATAATAGAATAATAAAAGGTTTTTACTGATATTGTGTCGAAAAATATTTAAAAATATTATCATAGATTATAATTTTGTCAAAATAAAGAAACCTAAATATAAAAATGTTATAACTAATAGAAGAAAATCACATGATCCACATTATGGACATTGTTGTTATCTGAAGCAGAAACTCAAGCAATTAAACAAATGTATATTTAACTTATTTATAAAAAATAGATATTTGAAGCAAATTCTATTGGATGTACTATAAAATAGAAACAAAGATTATTAAAGATAGGAAATTTTAAGACATCCAAAAACGTGTCACTAAACAATTGTCACTAATGCCATAATATTCGTTCGCCAGACATAAATATTTGGCTATAGTCTGTCCGACGAGAGAATACTTGACAGTGACAGTCGCGTCTGTCATTTGAATGCATAGTTAAACTGTATTTTCTGTAGTCTGTTCGAAATATCAGATTTTACTTATAGCAGAGAAATTGATAGATATCATATACTGTATTAATAATCAATTTCTATACTTTCAAAAAAGAGAAGACCAGGCTACTACTAACATAGCAAGTTGCCGGACGAATTTGCGTTTACCCGGTTGCGTTCGTACTCGAGATTCACTGCCGGCTAGTCGGCTTGTGTGTTTACAAGCCAAAACTAAGAAAAATAAATTCTCTAAACCTAAAACTTATTTCCAAAATTAAAAAATACATCAATAAAATTTAAAAAAAAACTAAAATATTACTCTAAATAAAAAAAAGTTATAGCAAGTGTTCAAAAAGACCACCTTCTTGTGCTAGACAGAAGCCTAGGCGGTCGTAAAATCCCCGTCTGACATTGGCTAACATATTAGGGCTAATAGTTTGGAAAGCCTCTCGTATTTTTACTTGAAGCTCATCCAGATTATTAGCCCTATTATGACCATAAACTTTGGATTTTACATAACCGCACAAAAAGAAATCGTTGGGAGAAAGATCTGGTGATCTAGCGGGCCACAATTGGGAAAAGTATTGTTCAAATATTCTTGAACAATACGGGCATTGTGGGCAGGGCAACCATCTTGTTGAAACCAGACATTGTGGAATCTTTCTCCCAATAACTCACGAACTCTAGGGACAATCTGTTGCTGTAACAAGTCCAAATACTTTGCAACAGTTAAATTACCCTCTATAAAAATGGACGAATCATATGCTCCCATACTAAACCACCCCAAACATTTAGCTTTTGAGGATATTGCTTGCGTACCTCAAAATATCTGTGCAAATTATCCCGAGAAAAACTTGATTCGTCAGTGAAAACTATACGCCGAATAAAGTTTTCATCTAAATTGGCCTTGACAGATTCACAAAACGCCATACGCCGAAATTGGTCTTCATGGAAAATTTCTTGAGTTTTGCGCGCTTTATACGATCGGTATCCATTCTTTTTAAGGACTTTTTTAACCGTGCTATGTGAAGAATCTGTTACCTCGGCAATTTGATTACTTGAAAACGTGGGATTTTGATCCCCGGTAGCACAAATGAACACTTGCTTTAACTCCTGTTCTTCATTAATCAACACATCAGGCTTTTTATGTTTTTGTGGGCACACACACGCACCCATGTGTTTCAAAATTATTAATAACTCTTGATATAGTAAGTAAAGATGGAATTAGCCTGTTTACAAAAGTTTGTGGAAAAATTGTTTGTATATCCCGATAAGACCTATTTTGGAAATACCATTTTACAATTTGAATTTTCTCACGAACTTCATAAAAATCCATTATTTTACTTAAAAAATAAATTTTACACGAGAGCTGTCGCGAAAATATATGTATTCGTTTTGGCTATTAAAACATAAATAAATACAAATTCTGAAACATTCTTATCACATATCTACCTATTTTTATTTTATCGTATTTTTTCGCCTGCTTTTTATCCGGCGGACGGGTATACGCTAATTCGTCCGGTTCTGCCTATGTTACTAATACGGTGGTCCGGTCTGTATATCTATTGATGATCTTTTCTAAATGTCCTGTCTTCCTAATCTTTGATAGAGGCGTGTTTAACTAAATATATGCCAAAACAAGAATCGCAGAAAACGAGAACACTGAGGATGATCTAAACAGCGCTGATCTAATTAAACTTACCGCTGTAAGCCACAGACTGGAACACTACACGAGATAAAATACACAATCAAATCAAAGGTTTATTAAGTAACAATATTTAGGAAGATATTCTCTAAAATTTTCTTTTAGGAAAAATACGTTTTTGCAAAAAAAATTGAATTTAAATTTGAATACTTACTGTGTTTTTTCTTTGGAGGTAGAGGCGGTGGCTTTCCATCCACTTCATCGCTTAAATCGACATTTGTACTTGTGTTGTTTGATACCATACTGCTAAATTGACTGTGTTGGTGCATTTGGTGCTTCTGACAACTCACTAATACTTCAGCCTGGCTCAGGTCATCTAATGATATTGAATCAATATAAATAATTGTGGTAGGTACATTTAAAAATATAACAGTATTCTAAGTAAGTATTAAATCAATCACCTCTTGGTCGATGGCTTTAATTTTTATGTGATAAGAAATTGAAAAGTACCGTGGTCCGACGGCGCTCTGATTGGTCATTGCGTTTTCGCGCCACTATTCATCCGTAAATTTTTTAATCTAGCCCACCAACAGAGAAAGATTGTACAATAACGAACGTTTTGACACTTTTTTAGACAAATTTAATATAACGTTAATATAAATATACTACTGCGCTTCACTACTGCGCATCACATCTGTACGGGGTATCCTATTTTCGTGTATTTTATGGAATTTCTCGTTTATGAGTGGAGATACAATGATGCGATTTTCATACTATTTTGCTATTTTTTTATGAAACTAAATATGCTACACATAGGTTGGTTCTAGCCTTCTTCCTTAGTTCCTGAAATACAGGGCGCATTTGTGATGCGCAGTAGTGAAGAATACTCAAGAATACCTCGAAGAATACAGATATGATGCGCAGTAGTGAACGCAACGTCTACCAGCAGTCAAAAGGTCCACACTCTGTTCAGGAGAGCATAGCAAAAGATATATTAAAGAACCAGCTTTCTTAAAATTCTCTCTCGAAAAAAACTATAAGTAAAACAGCGAAATCTTTATGGAAATGAAAATATAAAAAGACACCAATCACAAAGTAAAAATGAAAATGCAATAAGTTTAAAAACTACATCATTTTCTAACCAATCGAAGTCTTTAACTTCAACCAATAAAATTAATATTGTATCATCGTATCGTCGAAAGGCAATGAAACAGTTTAAGTTTTGATCAATTGATCATAGATGGCGCAATATTAGTTTTGCATATTAAAGTTGGTAAAGAAATATTGTTCTATTGAAAAAAGTATGGCTCTAGATCCTATTTTAGTTAAAATCAAAAGGCGCAATTAGAATTTGCAGTGAATGATAGAAAAATTTGAATATAAACTATGTGCATAACTTTGACCGCGAATAACTTTTAAAGGAATGTTTTTATGGAAAAAAACAAATTTTGTATTAGAATATGTCTTTGTCAAAGCTGTAGGTTCATTTGCTTTGGAGATAAAAAAATGTTATTTAAATGGGATTCCAGCAAGGTTTAAATTAAAAATTAAGAGCTTGTGTACGTTGGATAATTTTTTTAAAGCAAAAACTAAAACTTCAGAGGGCGGCAGCAAAAAAAAATCAACTTGGGAAATAACGGACACCCTACTGTACAGCACTTGAGACGTAAGGGAAATCAAATCAGCCTTGTCACAAATTTGCCCATTAGGTTGCGTATTTTCCCAATTTTTTTAATCAACGATAAGAGTTGAAACCCAAATTGCTATTTTATATATGTGTGTTAAAAGGGGTTTATTTTTTTTTACCTATAAAATTGTCCAACTGAGAAACGTTATCATAGGGACTAGGCTGTCTTGGTTCAGTCTTCTTCTTAGTCTTTTGGGGAATAGCTGGGGGAATTTCGTCACCGTCCAAGCCCAGTTTGGATACGACCGAATGCGAACTATTAGATATCACCATCGTCGAACTCGAACTACTGGAACTTTTCTGTGCGAAACTTTTGACAGCCACCGACGGGCTATCCAGAAAATGGTCATTCGATTGGCGAGATGTCAGACAGAATTGTGTACTAGAAGCAAAAAGAAACGTTTTGTCAGAACATACATTAGCTTTACAGAAGCGACAGTAAAGGAATAAATTAGTGGTTTCAATTAAAATTTTTACTTAAAAATTTATGATCGCTCACCATGTCTAAAAATACAATTAAAATTAATAGAATATCCTAGCAACAGCTTGCGGCAATCAGTTGTATCCATAGTGAAATACTTAATTAGCTTATAAAACAATAAACTTTTGATTTCGAACCACAAATTCCTCTTGATGGATGACAATCAAAGGCAAAATAATTATATTACTAGCAAATTGTAAAGTATTATTAGCGAAAAAGGTTAAAAGTTTGTTAATTTTTTCTACTAATTGAAAATGCTTACATTGAAATTAGAGCAACAAAGTTCTATGCTAATTGAAACCACTAATTTATTTCGCTGATTTTGTTTTATAATTTTTATATAACTTGAATGAAAAAAAGTTTCGTCTGTCATTTTAATTAACAGTAATTTGTAATTTCTGTCATATTTTGGGTGTCGTCTATTAAAATGTTTCCTGAGTCGTTGTACAGATTCTACCCTACTGGCTACGCTCGGCTTTGGGTCCCGATTTCTGCATGTAAGAAGAGTACAGAGTGGGTCAAATTCGACGCTTTTAAATGGAAACACCCTTTTCTCTAGGAGATAGACAAAAACTAATATCGGTGTCTAGCTCAATTTTTATCAAAAACATGATGGCGAAAACCGCATATCGATATCTGTTACCGTTTCGGAGTTACGGGGTGTTTTTCAAAAATATGCATTTTTAAGAAATCGCTGTAACTTTTTTGCTATGGAAAATTTTGTATTTTTATGAAAACATTTCCAAAGCACCTTTTTACGTAGAATTTAATGGTTTAAGTATAATTTTTTTAAGATTAATAATTTAAGAATTATCAACAAAAAATTTGATTTTTTATATGGGACACCCTGTATATTTTTAATTTATTCAAAATAATTTAAAATTACCTTTCCAAAAATATAACATACTTGATATTTTGCTCGATTCCTCTTCGAGATATAGAGTATATAAAAATTCGCCCGCTTTAAATAAGTAGGCTTTGAACGGCACCGGCTGTAATGCAAAAAAATTTTTAGCTGTGAGCATCAATTAAAACGAAAATAATATTTGCTATGAGAGATGCAGAATTTTATAACAATTTAAAATATATTTAACCAACATCAACACATTTAAACTATATCTAATAACAATAAAAATAAATAGCAAACCAAGACATGAGATTTTGCTACAGGTGTTCGACATATCGACCGTCTTCTGTTATGGACAGACGGGGCAGTTTTTGAACATTTCCCGCGGAATTCGTTAACTCAGTAGGGGTGAAAGATACCCTCTCTGCTAAGTGTTTCTAATTCTTGTGTAGATTATACGGGAGAATAAGCCAATAAGGAACCTTTATTCTTCCGCAAATATATCCATAGGATTAGATCCATGGGCACTAAGTCAGGCGGCCTCGACGGCCAACGGCTGGGATCTTGGTTAGCTATTTAATTATTCTTAAAATTGGCTGCAAAAATTTGTTCAGCGTTCAGAGCCGGTGTGTCTCTTGCTGGAAAAATATGTTTTCGAGTTCCATTAGAGGTATATAATCAATAAGGGGTGCAAAGCCTACTAGTTAAAAGTGGCGAACTTTCAAAAATTCTGTATTTCGAAGGGGATTATAACAAAATATCAAGTGTGCTATATTTTTGGAAAAGTAATTTTAAATTCTTTTCAGTTAATTAAAAATATAGAGGGTGTTCTAAATAAAAAATCAATTTTTCTGTTGATAACTCTTAAATTATTAATTTAAAAAAATATATACTTAAACCATTAAATTCTACGTAAAAAGGTGCTTTGGAAATGTTTTCTTATAAATACAAAATTTTTCATAGCAAAAAAGTTACAGCGATTTGTTAAACATACACATTTTTGAAAAACACCCCCGTAACTCCGAAACGGTAACAGATATTGATGTGCGATTTTCACCATCATGTTTTTGATGAAAATTGAGCTCCAGACACCGATATTAGTTTTCGTCTATGTCCTATAGTAAAGGGTGTTTCCATTTAAAAGCGTCGAATTTGACCCACCCTGTACATGCATGTATAATGTACTGAACTAAGAGAGAAGAGTAAAAACGTTGCCAAATGCACGAAATAAACCGAGAAACTATATATATTGCAAAGAGACGAGTAAGGGGATATGGCAGTTTCGCCGCGGTCGACAAAAAAATCACGGTAATTTTCAAATTACCGCCATTATTGACGTTTTTTCATTATAAAAAATTGATCAAGTGCGAGTCGGACTCGCGTACGAAGGGTTCCGTACCATTCATTCATTATCTATACAACATTAGACACTATATTATTATAAACTTTTTTTCCGATTTAGCTGAAATTTTGAATGCGCGTATAAGTAATTTAAAAAAAATGAAGAAACACATTACTAAAAATTGTATTAATCAATAATAAATATGTAAAAAGTAAAAATAAATATGTAAAAATAAAAAAAAACGATTAAAAAAAAGTCGCCTTGGCTAGGATTCGAACCTGCCTTACTACGGCTCCAACGTCATAGCAGCGTAAAGTCCTAACGCTTTAACCACGCGGCCACCCAGGACTTAAAAGATTCTATGTAAAATGTTTACTTAAAAGATAAAGTTTAGTGAAAGTACTTTTTTATTTATAAACATTTATTTAATTCTGTTTTTAGTATTTGTTCTTATAGCGGCAACATAGATACATTATCTGTAAAAATTTCAACTGTCTAGCTATAACGGTTCATAAGATAGACCTTTGTGACAGACGGACGGACGGACAGCGAAGTCTTAGTAATAGTGTTCCCGTTTTTACCCTTTGGGTAAGGAGCCCTAAAAAATGGCCACCCTAGCGATATTTTTATAACTCAGAAACTATTATAACATATTCTACTACTAATACTTATTCTACTCTCTTAAAACAGTAGAAATAATCGTCTTTCGACCGTAATTTTAGTCCACTAGACAGGGAAAGACACACCTGTAACTCCGATATATGTGGCTACGCAGCAAGAGCACACTGTTGCATTTTTCTCTCTCTGACTTAATAAGATCCTCAAGCTATTCGCTTCCACACTTTTGATCCCTTTAAATATTTCAAGCTAACTTACCTTACAGAACTTTGTTGGGAACTTCTTTTAGAATAGCTGGATGATCTTGTCGACACTATACCAGAGTCCGTATTCGACAGTCGGTGATAATCGTTCACTGTAGTTTGAAGATCTAGATTGTGATTGGATATCCCTGAACTGAGTGACGATTCCTCCCAAGAATTTGAACCTGTAGAAAGTCTTATTACTCAAAATTCACTTATCTACTAAGTAAAATAAATATAATAGTGAAAGCAAATAAAAGTGTAGTTGAAGTGTTACCTATACCAAATATGTCAGAAGTGTGGTTTTCCAATAACATGTCTTGGTCACACTCCATAAGAGCCTTAATTTCGTCTTCTTCTTTAGAAGATTGGTTTAACATAGAGTCTATGCTGCCTTCCGAAAATAACGATACTGAATCTTCTGGAGACTTTGATACCATAAATACTCTAACAAACAAATACAATATCAGAAAATATGACATCGTTATAATTAATTTATAATTATTGACCAGGAGTTTATTACAATAACCTACTAGGAATATTGGAACTAAAACCACATACTTTTCGGTTGATTTGATTCTAAAAAGAGGACTATTGCGTCAAAATGTTATTATTATTCAACAAATACCGGGTGTTTCTAAAAAGTGGCTCACCCCTATAAGTTTTTTATGAATTCAGACAAGTAAACGAGATTTTGTACGTTAGTATATGACATAAATCAGGACTGATTGACGTAATAAGTTGTTTTCGGTCATTTCTTGTTTCACCGGAAATGACTACAACTTTTGATTTTTGACATTATTCGATAGAAAATGACACTCTGAATAGAATAACATATCATATGTCAACTTTTAACATTCTTGCTTAATAAATGTATTTTAAATTTCAATCTAGAGTGCCATAGCTATTTTAAAAACATTAATTTTTAATCAAGGAGCCTTGGAAAAATAGATTTGATAGTCTAATATTTTTCGTACCTTGTCCTGGCCGGTTAAAAGATGTTCTTTTTTATTTCGTTCAATTATTCTGTATAACTACTGAAAGAGAATTAATATGAAAGAGATATAACACATAAAATATATGTGTAGTAAACCAAATCTGTGTTAAAAAATGAGAAGAAGATGGGGGAGATGTTTTCATTTCTATATGATTCGTTGCAGTGACGATATTCTTAGAAGATTGTAGTAATACGTTGTTTTCATTACCTTTCTAAACTACTCCCTATAGGGGAACTATCAGTGCTGTGACCATCATCAACTACATGATGTAATCTTTGGTTCTTTTTCTTAGGAGGAATGGGTGGGGGTGTAACACTATAGGTGCCTGTTCTTAAACTAAAAAAAAAAATAATGTATTTCATTAACAAAGGCTTGGTGCATTTTAGTTGATTTTAAAAATTCCGACCGCAGCGCTCCATACGGCAGAAATTAAAAATTTTCGCTATGTATTTCACGCAGTTCCGATGTTGATCGCATTGAAATAATATTAAAATCGTGGCTTTGTCATAATATTTAGGTATTTTAGTTTTTAATAGTGCAGTGATTGAAACTATAAAACACTCAAGTACGACGGTTGTGTGATGTAAAGCTGTTTCGGGTAGTAAAAATTAAGTGAAAAAGAATACGAACTAGGCGTCGCTTTGTGTTGTGACAATTTTAAATGTTAATAAAATTGTCGAAAAAATGTTAACACATAAAGGAGAGCGTAATTACCTGCTTGTTGAGCGTAACAGTATTCAATAACTCAACTTTCCCGGATATTCAACTCTCCGAAACAACATTTTATAGCTTCACAACTTCAACGATTTGATCAAAAGCAAAAATGGATTGAAGCAGCTCGACGAAACAAGTGAGTAAACAAAGTGCCCATTACATAATCAAAAATTAAATAAGCATATACTATGAGAAGATAAGTTATAATTTGCAATATTAATGGTATAATTGTTTTAATCAACTAGTGCTTTATGAACCTTTTTTAAAATTATAATTATATAGGTACCTTTAATCTTAAAAATTCGCTATAACCGGAATAGCCACGGTAGCATAAGCTACCGTAGTTGAACTCATCAGTTTTATTAGCTTGAATAATAAATTATAATACAAATTAGACCTTCTAAAGATATCAAAATATTTACTTTTTTATTTTTATTTTTATAATTTTCACAAATTATACTTCCTAATACTTTTAGAATAATTATATATTGTAACCGCAAAACATTTTTCGATGCACGTCATCAATCATATCGACATTGACATTAAAGTCTATAAACCTGACTAGATGAAATTTTGGCAAAAATGTTTAAATTTGTTGTATAATTTAAGTTACCGAGCAGCTCCTCATTTTACTTTATAGAGCAAATGATTGTAACAGATATTTTATTTAGATTAAAGCTGCAAGAATTAGTTTAAACCGAATTTTATTATCGCTATGTTGGTCACATTACGTCGTGTTCAGCAATGTTGTCCTTTATTGTTTGACAATTATCCTAATGTTGTATAATATTGTGTTGTTGTTGAATCTTTTTTGCCTATTTTCGTAGTCTTTTTTTTAAATGTACTTTTAAGCACAAACAGTTCTTTTAAGAACTAAATTTTCAAATTTTTGTATTGTATTTCTTGAAATTGTGTGTTGAAAATATACCGAAGCATTTATACAGTCGAAGCAGAGCTTGTAGCTTCCCTGATAAACAATTTGAACAAGAACGTGACAATAAAGGTAGTTTATTACCCTTGAGTGCAGTCAGAGAAGTAAGTTTGATTGATAAGCACATTATACCACTTTCAAAGTTAGTTTAAATTAAATACTTTGATTAATTAATTAAATACTTTGATTATTAGTTTGTGCATTAATAGCACCCTCTTACTTGTTATTACCACTTATGGCGTTGTAAGATGTACATAAATAATTAAATAACCCATAATAACGCCTAGAATAATCTTCATAATGGGCTAGTTTTGCCTATATGCAATAAGTAAAATAAGCTATAAAACAAATAAATCAATTAATTACTAACATATTAGTTATTAAATTAAAAATAAAACGAAAAAACTCTTTAAAAAATGATATAATAAATATATTGTATGTTAATTATAAATTGAGATTCATCTCATAAATCCATCACAATCTGGCAGCGCTGTCGCCATCGCTTGTCACTCAAAGTTGATCACGTGCATCGGAAAGTGTTTTGCGATTACCATAATAAATTTTTCGTATACTCGTTATTTAAATCCGTGCATTTGTATATGCCGGTTGTTTACGATATTCTCCGACGATGGCAGCACCGGCGGAGAATGCACCAAACCTATACATACCTATCAGGTAACGGTGGTTTAGGAGGTGGATTTGGATCCATTAAAATACTTTCTGTGCTGTGGCTGCTCCGTATCGGCAAATTACACGACGTCTGTTCCAAAATTTCCCTTTCCCTTGGCGTTAACGGTATATCTAAAAAAATCGTATGAATTGAATCAAAAAAATTCGCAAATATTAGGTCTGGCTGCTAACCTGGTAATGAATTTCGTTGTGACTGAACTTCTAAGCTACAATTACTAAAGGATGTACGGGGAGTGGTTTTATAAGATGTTAATTGTTGTTGTTGCGATATTTTCTCTTGTGCCAACTGAATTAGGGTCTGTTAAAAATAATATAACAATTTATTTACTCAAAAAAAATAAAGGAATCTATTACTTACCCTCACTGCATCTTCCACTTGAGCTACTATTTCGTTTACATTTTCAAGTTTCAATTCGGAACTTTGAGCATCAACCAGGGCATCATCGCAAAGCTTTATTAACCTAAAAGTCATCGATACGTGGAAACAAAAACAATCAAAAGTTCTCTTCGAAATATTAGTCTGTAGGTTTGTTCCAACATAGCAGAGAACCGTTCTTGGCTTTGAATAAGACTAACTAAGGAGCATATCAAAAATCTTAGGTCCACCGCGATGGGCCTCAAATAGGGCCGACTTAAATTCCGGTTTATCAGTGCCGTTCTAATTTTATTTAAAAAATGTAAAACTATGATGTAGGGTAGACGTGGGGTAGACTCAATATTTTTTTTTATTTTACGTTGTGATTGAATGTTGGTAGTTATTAAAATTGTTATAAAAATATAAAATTCTAATAAAAATAGTTAAGTTATAATAATTATTTACAACCAGAAACATTCGATACGCTACTGAAGCAGGTAAGTCAAATTGACGTATCTAAATTCTTTGACATCTAATCTTTGACAAGTAGTAAATAAAAGCAAAAATGCAAGAAAAAATATATAATTAGTTAATTTAAGCGAATTTCATAAATGATCGGTTTACTACACGTATGTAGATTATATAGTCACTTACTAGCGAAAAGTTGTTCCATTATTTCACACATTTTTGCCGAGATCTACCGCACGCTACACAACCAACTATTTTAGAGTCTTTTTCAATAAATCGCGATAGTGTCACTGCTAATTTAAGTTCTGCCACAATTTCCATCTAGATTTACTACCTTTATACCACTATCAGTAGTAGAATAAATCATAAATAACATAAAATAAGCTCCGTAAAGAGTGACAAATCCACAAAATTTCAAATCAAATTCAAATGTGTCAAAATTGTAATCGTCCGTGAACAGTATTCGGAACGATAATTTCGATAACACCCTAAAAGCAAGAATCAAAAAAACTAACCTCCATATCAAGACTAGTGATGGGATAACTCGAGCGAAAATTCGCTCGAGTACTCGATTATTGAGATAACCGAGAGCGCTCGATTATGTACGAGCGATGCAAGTGACGATTTACGAGCGACGAACGCAAGCGATCCTAGAAGAAATAAATTGAAATTCGATTTTAATATGACATACTCGATAAAAAGCCGAGCTAATTTTCTACATACATTGCAGGTAGCAAATTTATACGACGCCGTATATATATATATATATTTATCCGTTGCGTATCTGAGGGACAAAATTTTGTAATAAATTAAATCAAACGATCAAGCGAATCGCTCATCGCTTGCTACTTGCCATTCATCACCGAAAGAATATATGTGACCTGCGCACGCAACTTACTGCTTGGCGCTTGGCGTTAACGAGTACTTCCAACAAGCGACGGACGAAAACCCGTTTTTTTAAATACGAGCGATATTTCACCCGAGCGATTGCTCGGTTATTGCAACCGCTTGAAACTTGAGTACTCGATTATTGAAATTAATCGATTTTTCCCATCACTAATGAAGACTGTGTACCAGGCGATTATTTTTTTCTTTAATTTCTTTGGCTATTTTCTGCTTTTAATTTGCTAATTCCTCAAGTTTTATTTGGTACTTGTCGTTTTGGTACATATTTTAAGTATTTGTCGTTTTGATACATTATTTTTGTACTAAATAATATGATGAGTGACGAAAAGGACAGTGATATTGAGTATGGGGATACCCATGAAAATTATTTGAAACTTTTGTTAAATACAGTAAAAATGATTTCATAATACTTTTAAAATATAAATATATAAATTAATTAATGAAAAAGTTAGAGTTAATATAAAACCGTATACTATTCTAGCTTTATAATTTTATAATGTTTTTATAATTTTTATTAAAAAACGATAATCCTATTACCCGGCCGGATAGCTGCGGCCATTAAACCAAAATACTACTACATCTATATCTCTGACTACTACTAACTGCTACTAACCAACAAATTGTTTTGTGTAGTCTGTGTTGTTTTTATTTTAATGATTTGTTTATTATTCATGTTGGGGATTTGTTTTTAAATTAATGTCAATCGTTAGGCAACCAGTATTTCCTGTGCATAATCAGAATTGTCACTCAAATTTTACATAACCAAATTGTCACTCTAAATCGCTGTCTTTTTTAAACAGATGCCACTTGTCTTGTCATTATTCCATTATTTTGGGTCGCGACCGTTATACGCGATCTGGCGCTGCTATAGCGGTCGCTAAGAACAACGGCAAACAAAAACAGAAATAATTTTCTCTTGTCAAAGTCAGAATCTTCAAAAATCATAATAATATTTCAAAATCTAAACCGCTCTCATTAAAGAAATTCCGAAAAGCGTTTATAGCGTCCATTTTCAAAGTAATAATTGCTATCTTTGTTGAGTTTAATTCAAGTTTTATTTACTCAACCGGTGATAATTGTGAAAAAGTGGCATTAAAAACTTAAAAAGCTGTGCTGTGAACTGCAAAAAGTTTCCAATGTTTCATAGGTATTTCATACATGCGTCCTTATATAAAATAAAGTTTCTTGTACGCAACACACTGTCTTTTATTTATAAAATTAAACGAAAATAATAATAAATTTGAATAAACAATATTTGGCGATATAATTCCGGAAAAAGCCGAACCGCTCCGAAATTTTCAAAAGTTTTGGGTCGCGACCGTTGCAAGAATAGCGCCAAATAGTGTTTACATTGTCCTTCTGGGCACTTTCCAATCTAAACTTGTTTCATTTATCTATGCATTATTCTATTCATTATTTGAATTCTCAGAATGTTGTTAACAACAGTTTCATCTTAGAATAAAATTTTATCAATCACAATTGTTTATCTCCATCATTTACCGGATTAATAATACAGAAATTACAGCTCAATTACAAACAATTCATTATTTATAGTGATTTACAGTAATTTTAATAAATTATACGAATATGCTCGTTGATTGTTGGTTTGAAATAAATATGACAGTGTCCTCCAATGAAAATGCGAGTTACTAACTCTAAATTCTAATTCTGAGCTGGCAAATGAGCTAGATGCTTTACCTAAACCGTTATTCAGAAGCTACAAACCTAGTGATAAAGATATACATGAAATCAAGGTTGGTACAGTTTCAAGTTTATTATAGTGATTTTCTTAGCAGCGTTGGCACAGATCGTTACCCAGTGTTGCCACAGGCCTATTTTTCATCGGGATAGATTATCACGATATAACGGTGTTAAATTGTTTTACAAGGGGGTAGATCACATGCGTCACGCGGCCGTCATTCAAGGCCGTGCGTCGCGGCCTTGAATTTTTACTCCAAACGCGCGTAAAGAACTTCACTTTTTCACTTCAATAATTGCTTTATTTAATTGGCCTGACAAACTTTAAATAGAAAATTAGCACATAAAGCAGGTGTACAGCTGTTAAATGCTTTTCAAATTATAGCCCTGCTAAAAAATGCGTACGCTTTATTTAATAATTAAATGGGCGAAGTCTGGCTAAAAAGCCAGTCACACTGAACCCAGAATAACATATCTAACCTATATTAATACCCAAAAATTAAGTTTTGAATTTGATTTTAAAATCAATTCAAAACCCGTTCCAATCCGCATTTTTTTTTGGTATAGTAACAGAACTGTCCAAGTTGACACATGCGTACAAATCCGGTGTCGGCGATTTCAATTACCGTTCCAGAACGGTATAAATTTCTGTGTTGGAACAAACCTTATATTTAGATTCTGTTCTAAAAGCTCAGAACGATGTTGAATTTGTTGTAAATAATATGAAACAAACCTGGCAACTGTTTGGTAAACTCTGTGCATTGCAGAAACGACGCTACTACTGTGGTCATTATTAACTGAAGATTTTATTGACAAGTTTATGGACCATATCGTGTCTAAAACGATCGTTCCATTCCCTGGTAACATTTCTAGCTTATCTTTTGACACCACATCCCTAAAAATAGAAATGGTTAATTTAATACTATGTCAAAATAATATAATTTTTGTCTGTCATTTTAAAATATATAATACAAAGGTCACATTTGAAATAAATTTGTTGGTATTATGGCTATAAATTCTAACAACATGAACATTTCTACCATGCCATTCCTTAATTTTTTAATTTAGTCTATCAGCAAAAGAAATATTATAATTAATCACATACCGGGTGCGTCTCAAAAGTGGCTCACCCCTATAACTTTTTTATTTTTTCAGTTCAAAAAACGAGATTTGGTATGTTAGTATATGACGTAAATTAAGATTGATTGACGTATTCAAATGTTTTTGGTCACTTCCTGTTTCACCGGAAATGACTACAACTTTTGATTTTTAAATGGCACCTTCGCTAATTTTTTACTTCATTCGATAGAAAATAACACTCCGAATAGAATGACATATCATATGTCAACTTTTGACATTTTCGCATATGGTTTATTTGAAATTATAACTTGCGGTTCGGAACGAAAATTTGACTCGAAATACCAAGTTTGTGGTATCAAATTATTCGTAAAAATATGCTTTTTCCAAATATGCTAATGAGCCCCACTCGTTCCATTTGAAGAAATTGAGATATTATTAAAAATACGATTTGAGCATTTTCTGACTGGCCAGGACAACACATTAAAAGCATTAGACGATCAAATCTATTTTTCCAAGGCTCCTTGATTAAGAATTAGTGTTTTCAATATAGCCATGGTACTCTAGATTGAATTTTAAAATACAATTTTTACTAAGCGGGAATGTCAAAAGTTGGCATACATATGATATGCCATTCTATTCAGAATGCCATTTTCTATCGAATAAAGTAAAAAAATACCGAGGGTGCCATTTAAAAACCAAAAGTTGTAGTCATTTCCGGTGAAACAGGAAGTGACCAAAAACAACTGAATACATCAATCAATCCTAACTTATGTCATATACTAACATACCAAATCTCGTTTTTTAACTGAAAAAATAAAAAAGTTATAGGTGAGCCACTTTTGAGACGTACCCGTTATGGTAGATGCAGTCTGAACACAAAATTTATATACAAACGTTTTAAAATAAAGGATATTTTTCCCAACAAAAAGAGTAGAGTAATTCTTCTGTCATCGTTTGATGTTCTGTCAAAATCGTATATTCTCTAGCTGGATAAATTAAATTACGAAATAATTGAAAAATTATATATTTGGATACAGAATTTTTAACTTTTTTATTTTTTCAGATAAAAAAAACCAGATTTGGTATGTAGTATATGACATAAATTAGGATTAATTGACGTATTCAATTGGTTTTGGTCACTTCCTGTTTCGCCGAAAATGACTACAACTTTTGATTTTTTAATGGCACCCTCGGTATTTTTTTAATTTATTCGATAGAAAATGACATTCTGAATAGAATGACATAATATATGTCAACTTTTGACATTTTCGCTTAATAAAAAATCGTATTTTAAAATTCAATCTAGACTGCCATGGTTATGTTAAAAACACTAACTTTTAATCAAGGAGCCATGGAAAAATAGGTTTGATCGTCTAATGTTTTTAGTGCCTTGTCCTGGCCAGTTAGAAAATGCTCAAATCGTATTAATTTTTAATCATATCTCAATTTTTTCAAATGGGACGAGGATGGCTCATTAGCATATTTGGAAAAAGCATTTTTTACGCATAATTTGATACCACACACTTGGTATTTCGAGTCAAATTTTCGTTACGAACCGCAAGTTTTAATTTCAAATAAACCATAGCGAAAATGTCAAAAGTTGACATATGATATGTCATTCTATTCAGAATGTTATTTAAAATAACAGAAAATAACTTATTTTCTATCGAATAATGTAAAAAAATACGGAGGGTGCCATTTAAAAATCAAAAGTTGTAGTCATTACCGGGGAAACACGAAGTGACCAAAAACAATTGAATACGTCAATCAATCCTAATTTATGTCATATACTAACATACCAAATCTCGTTTTTTTTTAACTGAAAAAATAAAAAAAGAAAAAGGGGTGAGCCATTTTTGGGACGCAATATATATAGTTCTTAAAAAGTGTCAGATGAATCTAATGGATAATATTAGATAAGAATATATTGAAGTGCGCTTAAATCAAATACAAATATAAATAAATATAAATAATATAGTTGATGTATTTATCTGCAAATAGTGACAAATCAATTACTTTGCCACTCATTTTCAAATGGTATAATATTAATAACATTAACACTTATTTTAAAATAGCAGTCTTCAAATCAATTTCATCCTAAAATGCAATAATATATTTACAAAAAGTGTTTATTAAAAAAAAGGAAGTGATTATGGCTACTTAGTCATAGGAATGCCAATTTAAATATAAATTACCCAATCTAGTGAAACATAATATGTTAAATATCCTTATATTTGACTGAAATTAAGTCCATTTCTATTTTTACTCGTACCACCTGAATCCCATTAAAAACACTAACAATTTTAATTTCTTTGACGTGAAAAAAGTTAAATGAAAAGCATTATACCTTAAGTGAGTCAGTGCAATCTGCGTTTGTTTCCAATAATCTTCCAACTCTTGTGCCGGTCCTTTAACTTCCTGTTGCCTGCTGTCCATAATAACCGGAGAACCTTTGAAGCCCCCTTTAGGGCTGTGAGCCCTCGAGGCCAGTGTGCCTGATGATCCCGGACTCCTCATTTGTGATATTTTACCTTAACATAAATATTTCAATCAATAAAATAATTATTCTAACCACGAATAATGTTTGTAAATATTAATAATTGCATCAGTCTACCAGATACAGCTGAATCTAATTAGCTTGTATAAATATGAATCTATTTGAAATCGCAAACAACTTATTACAAATACCAATGTCATTTAATTTCACGCATTTATTCCCCTGGTTTCGATTAGCTCAATCTATGTTTTTTTCTAATAATAGTAAAATTATTTTCAATACCGAGTATATAAAATTTACTATTTCTAATTAGTGTATTCGGTTCAATTGGCCATATAGCCTGTTCAACAAGAGGATCCCTTACAGTGACAGTCGTGTCCATCATATTCTAATTATTTTAACAAACGTAAGAACCATTTCGTTACTGATTTCAAAAAAAAAATAAATCAAAAAAAAGATGAAGATTTAACCCTCTGCAGCTATGAAACAAAGCAGATGTTAATATGAAAAATAAATTTTATTTTTACAAGAGGAATCTCTCCACGAGAGATGGTACATGTTTCTTTAAACACCCTGTATACAGTACGACTTGCCATAAGAATTAATATGTTATACCTAAAAAATCGTCCTTAAATGACCGTGCTCTTCGTGCTAGTTTTGTCCCTTTGAAAGAAGGTTTGTGCCCCCCTGGGCCACTGCCTGCCAAAGGGGACGATGTGAGGTTCGTTTGGGACCCGTCAGTCTCTGCAATAAAAGATAAAATTAGTAAGCATTATTACCTTAAATTAATTATATTAAATACTAATTTAATAATGGTAGACATACAGTTGTAGACTCTTTATAAGAGGATGTTTTTCGTTTACAAAGTAAAACATCCTCTTATAGTAACGTTTCTTCTTGTATACCGGGTGCGTCTCAAAAGTGGCTCACCCCTATAACTTATTTTTTTCAGATAAAAAAACGAGATTTGGTATGTTAGAATATGACATAAATTAGGATTGATTGACGTATTCAATTCTTTTCGGCCAGCTCCTGTTACGCACCTTGACTACAACTTTTGATTTTTAAATGGCACCCTCGGTATTTTTTACTTTATTCGATAGAAAATGACACTCTGAATAGAGTGACATATCATATGTCAACTTTTGACATTTTCGCTTAAAACAAAGCTGATTTTTAAATTTCAATCCTGAGTGCCATGGCTGTGTGTTAAAAACACTAATTTTTAATCAAGGAGCCTTGAAAAAATAGATTAGATCGTCTAATGTTTTAGTGTCTTGTCCTGGCCGGTTAAAAGATGCCCATATCGTATTTTTAATCATATCTCAATTTTTTCAAATGAAACTAGGATGGCTCATTAACATATTTGGAAAAAGCACTTTTTTACCAATAATTTGGTACTACACACTTGGTATTTCGAGTCAAATTGTCGTTATGATCCGCATGTTACAATTTCAAATAAACCATATACGAAAATATCAAAAGTTAACATAGGATATGTCATTCTATTCAGAGTTTAATTTTCTATCGAATGAAGTAAAATAGAATCATTTTCTATCAAATGATGTGAAACAGGAACTGGTCAAAAACAATAGAATACGTTAATCAATCCTAATTTGTCATATAGTAACATACCAAATCTCGTTTTTTATCTAAAAGAATAAAAAAGTTATAATAGGAATAAGCCACTTTTGAGAAGCACCCGGTATAAATTAACTAAACCAGAGAACTAAACCAATAAAAACTGTTTTTTACTAGATAACATCTTGTGGATCATACTATTTTTTCATACTTTTTTTTATTAAAATTTCTAATCTTTGAATAATATATATAGAAGTAGGTACTTAAAAATTATGAAAGTAAAAATTTCCCAAGAAAATTTATCTACTAATTTTATGAATATTTTATTACATGCTATAAATCATCTAACAAACTGTAAATAAACAAGAAAATAAAACATTTTATAGTACACTATCAACATCAACGTTATGCCTAAAATCCATTAAAAAAATACTTAAAAGGAAAATATGTACATACAGGACGGTGGTATAAATAAATATTATATGGTAAAAAAGTAAAAATCAGAGAGTTTTACACTCTAAATATTACTAAAAAAATTACAAGAAAAAAAGTTCTGGCGGAGTGGCCTGTAACATTATAAATAAAATGTTTACACATGTTAGAATTAGTTTTATATAGGAATAAAGAAAATAACTTGAAAGAATATTTTGAAACCATACAATATAAGGGGCCATCCATAAATTACGGGGGTTGTAGTAAGATGGGCTGGTCACGTATGCAGAATGCAAGAAAACCGCATACAAAAATCTCTGGCTGAGCTTATAGCTCTGGTGAGCTTGTAGACGGTAAGAGAAGGCCGGGTCAAAGGCCGGGTGGACAACTCAAAAGGTACAATGATATTTTCCACGAAAACTTAAAGAAGATTAACAAGCAGAATGAATGGGAAGAAGCAGCTCATAATAGAACTCATTGGAGAAGAATTGTAAACTCAGTTGACAGCGACAACCAAAAAGTAAGAGGCAACAAAGCAATAAGATTTTTGAATATCCGGAGTGCGGTAGACAGATAACATCACGTATCGGGCTTTTCAGTCACAGAAAAGCTCACGAAAGAAAACGCCTTGCGTGACCCTCTTCTGATGCGTGTCAAATACTCGTAGGCAGTATGTATGTATGTATGTATGTATTACTAAAAAACAAACAAATGTCTAATTTTTGTATAAAGTAAATTTCTGGTTAACCGATATTACGTCAATTGACACAAAAAAGTAAATATTATTCTTAGAAAAAAAATATTACCAAAGTTTAAATTAAGTAACCGCAATTTATCACTTTGGATGATAAATTTTAAAATGTGCCTACCACAGAAAACGAAAATAGAAATATATAAACATATAGACAAAAACATTAAAGCAATTATATTAATAGTTCTTTTATATTAAAATAAAGATATCTAAACACATAACACATGTTGTGTCACAGAATATAATAAGAATCATCTCCTGGTCTTACTAATTAAACTTTTAGTTACGAAATTGAGGGCGCGATTTTTAAATTCATTGTTGCCAACCATGGACATATTCGGCGCCGTGCTGACTAATTGGAATTAATATTTCGCGCTGGGGATTCAGGTGGTAGCTCTGCTGTAAAAAATGGCAAGTTGCCGCATGTGTTCATTTATTTCCTAACATTGTCATTCGTTTTGACACTTCAGTTTTGTATTACGAGTTTTTGGTTTAAATAAATAGTGTTGTTATACTTTAAGCTTGAAAATGTTTACTAGCGGACCTTGCAGTCGAACATTGTTCATTTTAGAACCTCTTTTAGCGCGAAGTGGTAGAAGATAGTTTAATAGCCGTAAAAATCTCATCGCAACTTTATTAGAATATTTTGAACGGGAAAGCGGTAGTAATGGCCCTTTATGTCCCTTAAGTGCTGTTAAGGAGGTGAGTTTCGTTGATGTAAATAATAACTGTTTATATATTTATAATTATTTCCTTTTTCCTAATATATTTTGTGAATGAACTAAACTTTCGTGCATAGAAATCGGCCCACTGTGAACTATTGGTTTTAACTGTGTCTTTTAGAATCTATTTATCATGGCAAGTAAAAAATATGAGCTGTTTCAAAGGCAATTTAACATGCTTTAATATGAGCATAAATTTATTCAGGGTATTTATCGTTTATATGCGTACCAACGGGTAAACAAATAAAAGGTATTTGTGTTGTGGTGACAATAAGAATATCAAACTTGTCAAATATTGCAATTACTACCTTTGTAATCGAAATTTTCACATTGTTCTTTTATTCTTTGATTAGTTGCGTTTCATTGTTTGATTAGTGTTTCAATTTAATGCATACATCAACGGAAAAAGCCGCCCAAGTAATCGCTTTAATCGAAAATGGGCGTAAACAGAGAGCTGTAGCTCGGCAACTACATATGACACGCGGAGCGGTTCGAAGAGTGTGTGAACGATATGAGGAGACTCGATCCTTTCGTAGTCGACCTGGAACTAGTAGAAAGAGATATACAACGGATCGTGATGACTGCTTTATTGTGTCAACAATGTTAAGAAATCGGCGTCTTAATGCTATTCAGGTGCAACAACAGCTCCGTGAAACACGAGGAGTGACTATTAGTCAGTGGACAGTAAGACGAAGATTGAAGGAAAGTAACATGACCCCCAAAACACCCGCAATTGGTCCAAAACTTGCCCCAGCTCATCGTCAAGCAGGCCTGCGTTTTGCACTGGAACATCTGAATTGGACACTAGAACAATGGGAATCTGTTTTATTCTCAGATGAGACCAGGATATGCCTCTATGGTAGCGACCAAAGAAGAAAAGTGTACCGGAGGCCAGGTGAGCGATTCGCAGAATGCTGCATTGAGGAGCGGATTGCTTATGGAGGTGGTTCCTGCATGATCTGGGATGCAATTTCTATGACTGCGCGAACCGACCCAATTTTCATCCGTTGGGGCGACCGTCGGTACGGGAGAGGAGGTTTAACTGGTGCTAGATATATTAAGGAGATTTTAGCAGTTCATGTGGTACCTTACGTCGACTACATTGGAAACGAATTCACTTTTATGCATGACAATGCGAAGGTACACACATCAAGAATCGTACACGATTACATTTCAGAAGTCGGATTTCGGGTTATGAAATGGCCAGCATGCAGTCCAGACTTAAACCCGATAGAACATTTATGGTATGAGCTAAAACGAAGAATTCGTACTAGACGAAGGGCCCCAACTTCTATCCCAGAGCTCATTGTTGCAGTAGAGGAAGAGTGGCTTAACATCCCGCAAGAAACAATATCAAATTTGATCGAATCTATGCCAAATCGTATGAGAGATGTTGTTAGAGCAAGAGGGGGTCATACCCATTATTGAAAATTTAGTTTAGTTAATTGTCCATAAATAAATAAATAAATAATAACATACTTCTTAGTAATAAAAAACGATAATTTGTTTCATGCATTAATTTAATAATTTTATTCAAAGAAACCAAAATACAAATTAATATCTCTAAACTCTTTTCAAAGAATATGAAATTGTCTTTCAAACAGCATGTATTTTTTCTTAATCTGACAAATAGATTCTAAAAAATATATAGTTAACTGTAAAATGTTGCCTTGGGCCGATTTCTATGCACGCAAGTGTATATTCATATTTATATTTAAATTAAGAATTCTTTTAAAAAATTACAATTTTCATGCACCTTTACATAAAAAAGCGCCCCATGCAATCTTTAAATGTATGAAAGTAAGCGTTGTAAATAAAAACAGTACACCACAACAAGAAAAATGATGTGACATAAAATTTTTTTCGTACAATAAACAAGCAGCTCATTGCGCATGAGAACCATAAATAGTTTCAGCATCCATAAAACATATTTGAATAATGACGAAATAATTATAATTATATACACACGTACTCTTTTTAATTGTAAATTATTTTGTGACGTAATTTTCGCGACGAGCAGTGAATATAATAGGAAACGAATCTCAATTCATTTTAATTTTTTTATATTTCCGGTATTGTAATTTTTTGAACTAACAAATTTTTACTTATATAGGGCGGCGCCTATTATAAAACACGGAGGCTCCAAGAGGCCAAGAGGAACGACAATTTGTATTTTGTATTGAAATAAAATTGTGACCAAACAAAATAATCATTAACCAAAATAAATGTTTTTGTATCACAATAATTATTTATTAATA